ATGAAAGGGGTGGTATTTGGAGCATTCGACCAATCACAAACATGGACATGCGTACTGACAGCGCAGCGTCATACTTCCTGAATGAAAAGTCAACTATATAATTAGACACATATGAAGACGTTAAACTTTAAACATCCATGACTTAAACACTTTATCCAGGATAAAAGCCGCATAGTTGCACCTGCAAGGTGAATACAGCTGGTAAAAGAAAAAGTGTTTGAATGCGTACATTAACAGGTTTATGATATCACTGCCCCGTCTAAGACACGAGTGGGTCTGACTTTAATTGTATTTGACTCGAGTGTTTCGTCTACTGAATGTGTTGCTTAAAATAATACTTCTGCATACAGTATGTGACACTGTGAGTGTTGCACGGCCAGATACGGCTCAGCTGACTCAGATAAGGAAACATATGATACATTATGATGTGATATGCCGCGGACTGTACTTAATGTTACTCTGATCCGGTTACTTATGTTGTGGCAGATATTTAATTAAGCTTTCTTAACGCTAATGTTATAATAGTCAGATTGCTCTGAAGATGGGAGGTGATATTTTATTAATGTTCACGTTCACACAGTCGGTGATTTTTGCCGGCCGTCTTTCCTGGATCGGCAGCTTTTCTGTATTTCCTTTCTCCTGTAATATGACTTGATCGCTTTAAACTCCGCACACTGAGCTCTGATTGGTCAGCAGGCAGTGCTTTCACTGAGTTGAGCTCTTAGCCTGCAACCTAACCTGCTCCGGGGCAGGTTAGCCGCACAGCATAAATTACCATGGAAATCTAGCCTGCTAAAAAGAGAACCAGCTTCGTAGGACCGGAAACCCCGAGTTTTCCCTGAAGTTAGCCGGCTAAGCGAAAATCCTGCTTCGTAGTATACGCCCCAGGTGTCCAAAACTACTTTCAAAATAAAACACCTACTCCTAAATTACAATGAATAAAAAGGTACATTTACAATAAACAGAGAATACATTTTTAACTCATAAATAAATGAATATATAGCCCCAACACAGTCCTTCAAACAGATCTCTGTGGTTATATGTTTTTGCTGGATGGTTTGTTCATCCTGTCTTGTCTTTTTTACAGCTCTTTAGTTGAAAGGGCATCACATCCCTCTCAGTGTTTGCTACTCATCCCCACATGGCATGTTACTGTAAGCATGCACCAAGGTTTAAAGGTCTCTACTTCCTCTCGTTCTGTCTTGCATGCATCACAACAGCTTATCAGTGTTTTACCTAGTTCATTTCCTACAAATGTTAGTATTCATAAATGCCCTCTGGTTTAATCTGGTTCCGCTTTCTGGGATTCTACTATCACTTGATTCAACTTTTTGGCTATGGAAATTTTTTTTCTTTTTGTTTGTTTTCAATGGTTCTGCATCAATCTGCATTACATGTAAACCTATCCAAGGCTGAAACAGCTGTGGGGGGGCTTCATGTTCTTGTCTTTTTCTTATTAAATAATAACAGCTTTAACTGCATGTTGCTCTAGTAACATTATGTTCCTCTCTTGCTGGATCAACGCCACATCTCTTATGGGTCTTTACATTTTGTAGCTCTTTGAAAAAAATCAATACGATGTTATCCATTTATCATTTATTTAGTTGATAAGATTTCTGTTAAATTCATCACAAAGTCTGAAAATGTACAGAACCACCGGCTCCCATTCTTCCTGAAATTACCAATCCCACTCAATGATGATCAGTTATTCTGAGTGATAATTATGGCTTCATTCCTGCTTCGTAATTCTCACTGTGCTGTTTCCTCCTCCCGATCAAATAGACCCAGTGCCGCCCAATGCCACGGTGGTCTTTGAGGTGGAGGTGTACTCTGTATCCAGGGGGCCCCGCAGCATGGAGGCCTTCAAAATGATGGACCTGGATGAAGACAGAAGTCTCACAAAGGAAGAGGTGACTATAATTCACAAGCTGGTGATTATCATGGAAGTAGCTCAGACTGAAAAGGCTCTAATAACCAACCATGGTGGGATTAACCAGCTCAGGAGTCTGGGTAATAACTGGCTTGTGACGAGATTTATCTATAAGAATGTTCTCCTTTCATGGTTAGCCCTTATCTGAAATAGATGCCACTTCAAATGGGAGTCAGAATACTTTATTTATCCCGGGGGGGGAATTGGGTTTTGTGGAAGTTGCTCCAAATAAAATTTTAAAAAAAGAAAACAAATTAAACAAAATTGTTTAAAAAAAAAAAAATGTTATTAACAGGCTTTGCATAAGGTTATGAAACATCCAACCCTAAGTCACCTCGCTTAGTTACCTCATAAAGAATAAAGGCTACATTTTTCTTTGTCCTCTTATTATCTCACATCATAAAAAAAGGCTATAAATACTACATTTAATTTATTTACTGCATTTGCTCTCTTTAAAATAGCATTGTAAAAGCAAAATATAATGACAATGTCAGTACTACAAACCACCAGGAAATATAATATTTTAAAGAGATCAAAAATGTAGCTCGACCCCAAAGCACATGCTTACAAGAAGACCAGAATTGACTTTATCAACACTATAATAGCCTGCTGGCATATAAATAAGATTCTTTACATCCACAACAGTCAAGATGTTATCTGGGTTGTTTATTGCACATTGAAGAAGAAGAGGACGACCTGCTGTTGATACCATTTACAGTTTTATTTATCACCCATAAGTGTGTTGCTTTAGATCATAACAGGGGTGTGTTATGTAAAAGCAGTGTTGTAATAGTACAATAAATGTCTGTTATTTATACTGAAGGATTATTTTTCTCTTCAGGTAAAGCAATACTTGCAGCTGGAGTATGAAAAGGGTGGGAAGCCACGCAACGTCGCTTTCTATGAGAAGATTATGGCGGATATTTTCCGCAAGAGTGATCAGGACAGCGACGGCCACATCAGTGCCAAGGAGTATAACATTTATGGACATGATGAGCTCTAGAGATCCTGCGGATTTAGGTTATGCAATTAGAGAGAAAACATGAATGGTTCGGGAATAAAAGCCATGGTCACATATTCTTACAATGATGCAACGGTATCAAGGGACATTCTAGGTAAAAAAAAGATGGAAATATTCCTTTAGGAAACCTCTGATTATCCAAGAGTTTATTTTTCCTTTAATTTGATAATCTCTCTGTTTTTTTCACATATTTCACCCTTTTACATTGTTTTCTGTTAAATGCAGATGTTCTTTTTACTATGAGAATATTGTAGTGGTGCATATTACAATGACACAAAATATTGACAATATTAGCCAACACTTCAAACCGCTAAATGGTATTTAAATGTTGTTTTGGGGTGGCATTTTTCCTTCAAAAAGAAAACAGGAAATAATCATGTTGAGGTATTTGGAGTTCCCTATATGTACTTTCCATATAACGTATTTCCAAGCCAAATAGTAGCCACTCAATTTTTTATACAAAGTATTCAATTATGCAAGAAACTGTCCAACACCTGGAAATGTGTTGATGAAAAACCACTACATTTTATGATTTTATGTGTTTTATTTCTGTCTTTAAGTTGTGTCTTTTGGTGATTCAATTTGCAGAAGAAAAGCCCACAGTATTGCACAAAGTTGTGGCTTTGAAACTGTAACATGACTGTCATATGACATGTTGGTTTACCCGCCACAAGAGAAAGATTCTAACTTGTCTTCCTGTGAAATTCCTGCCCTCCAATCTGCAACATCACACCAGCGCGCGATATACAATATAGAAGCCCTTAGAAGCAAATGACAAAAACACTTTCTAAGCCTGATCTAAATAGTTTTTCTTTCCTGATTTATGAAATAAGAACATGTGGGAAAAAAGGATTTGCAAAGACAACGTTTTCCAAAGTAATTATGAATGCCCTCGTTCCTATTAAGAACCGACATGCTGTACCGTATTTTAGCCTCTTGTGGCCGGAATTAATATTAAAACAACAAACATTGCAAAAATAAAATCACCTACCAACATGTTTGCTTTTCACCTATTCACCGATTTAAAAAACAAAGAAATATGAACCTGACAAAACATTTGACCTACTTGATCCAAACGGGAAAAAGGGAGCTGTTCTTAAGTCATTAGCAGGAGAGACTTCCATTTCACATTGCATCAGCTGTGATTGAGAAGTTTGAATACAGTTTGTGATAAAAATGCACACAGATGAATGTTGCGGTGTGTCAGACACATTTACAAGTTTGTTTACATCTTTAATGTGGTCCAAAATAATGATATTGTTGTATCCAGATGAACAGTTTTTGTATTTTGTAACACAATAAAGAAACCACAGTGAATGTGGAAAACAACAGTATGTTATGTGTGCTTCAGATTTGTTTCAAGTATTGTAAAATGGATTCATGGACTTTATATTTGTGTATACACACAGTGTTGTAGTATTGCTACTTTAACTTAAGTAAATAAGCGATACTGCAGTGTAACTATACTCAGTTAAAAGTAAAAGACCTCCAATAAAAATCTTATTCCAGTAAAAGTCCAAAAGTATTTGCAGTAATTTCCTTAAAATACCATAATTATTTATTATACAGATTGGACAATTTTAAAATGATATAAATATGAATTCTTAATCTTTCAATGTATATTTCTTTCTTTTTTATTATAATAGTTGATGCATTATTGTGTTCATCACTTCGATGTTGCACTTGGTAAAGGTGGGGTTTTTGATAACTTTATATACAGCTAGGTAGTTTCACCTGTTATAAGATATCATCATTTATTAGTTGATTTTTTGTTAGCAAGCTGCTCTAACAGATAATAAGGAGCTGTTTCAACAACAAGGTGGAGGGAGATTCCTCTGCTGTCAGACTGAGAGAGATAACTAGCTCAGGGGGGTATACTACGAAGCAGGATTTTCGCTTAGCCGGCTAACTTCAGGGAAAACTCTGGGTTTCCGGTCCTACGAAGCTGGTTCTCTTTTTAGCAGGCCATATCTCCATGGTAACTGATGCTGTGCGGCTAACCTGGGGGGTATACCGCGAAGCAGGATTTTCGTTTAGCAAGATAACTTCTGGGATTTCCGGTACTACGAAGCTGGTTCACTTTTTAGCGGGCTAGATCTCCATGGTGACTTATCCTGGAACCTAGTCTGTGCTCCGAAGCAGGATAGGTTCCAGGATAAGAGATCAACACAGTGAAAGCACCACGCCTGCTGACCAATAAGAGCTCAGTGTGCGGACGAAATGCAGTTTAAACTTCCGTTGCAGGAAATTCGGCAGGCCAAAATCACCGATTGTGTGAACGTGAAAATGAATAGAATATCACCTCCCATCTTCAGAGCAATCGGACTATTATAACTATTATTATACTATTAAGAAAGCTTAATTAAATATCTGCCACAACATAAGTAACCGGATCAAAGTAACATTACGTAGCCTACAGTCCGCGGCACTGTGAGTGCAGACGTCGATGTGTACCATTATTATTCATATCACATCATATCACATCATAATGTATCATATATTTCCTTATCTGAGTCAAATGAGCCGTATCTGGCCGTGCAACACTCACAAGAGGTTTCTCAATACTCAAATGTCCCCTCCTCGACTCCTCTCCTCAAGTCTTGATGCCGCCCACAGGAGATGCGAGCGGAGGACTGAGGAGGG